AGAGGGAGAGAGAGAGAGAGAGAGAGAGAGAGGGATAGAGAGGGAGAGAGAGAGAGAGAGAGAGATACTCTGGGTCATAGAATAAACTTCCATCCCTATCCAGGCAAAGAAACCCCAACAATTGGCTAAAACTATGGAGCAACGAGAAACTAAGTGATGTAATTCTGTTCTTGGTCTACACAACATGTCTTTCCTTCTTGTCTTCCTTTCCAGAGCATCTGAGCAAGAGGTGAAATTGGGAGGTATGATCACGACCACTGAATTTCTTGCCTTTGTTATTAATTTGTGTCCTGTTCACAATTCTTTTTAACTTAAATCAAAGATCTCAAAACTGGAAATGTCAGCCTACTATGGCTATTGTCTTGTCTGTTTCAACATCATCATTGTGGTCACTCATCGTTTATCAGCATTAGCATCATCACCATTATTGTTTATCACAAAGGGTTCCTAACAGGTCTTCACAAAACCTGAAACTTCCATGAAGATGTCTGGTCTTTATAATCCAAGCAGTCAGCGTTGAAGTTTAGCTTCCAGGAAGCTGTTTGATCCTTATAATCCAAACAATCAGTAGACGAGTTAAACCCCAAACTCGAAGCTCCGTAACCTTGAGTGGAGAGTGAAGCTGGAGACTGGTTGAGATGGCTGGCCACAGCATTGGTACCCATGGGGCTAAGGGTGGCCCCTGGTCCAGGGAGCTGGTGATGCATAGGGGTCAGGTAAGATCCACAGTCCATTCCTCCAAAATATGAGGTTGAGCCGGCATATCCTTGGCTATAGCCTGAAGCCTGAGTGTAGGTCATAGGATAGGACCTCTGCATGCATGAAGAAGAAGTGGACAGGGGGTCTGAGAGAGGAGAGATGGATGCTGGGCTCCAGATAGACACTGGAGCGCTGCTGCTGGAAATGGCAGGGACTGAGGTACTGGCTGGAGGTGTGAATTGGCCGCTGGTCCCACTCTCTGAACTCACTTCTCTGGCTGGAGAGCTCTTCTTCTTCGCAGGCCTCACTTTATTCTGGCCCCCGTTCTGCTGCTGCTGCTGCTGCTGGCGGCATTTGGCCCGACGGTTTTTAAACCACACCTGGAAAACCAACCAGGAAGGAGGAGAAAGAAGAGCGAAGGGTATTAGCCATATGGATCACAACAAGGACAAATGGGAGGAGAATAATTATCACCAGGGAGAACGACTGCACCGAGGAGAATATGGTGTTTTACGGAGGAATATCATATTAAGCAGCAGTTTATTATATGTTATATATAATAGCTATATAATAAATATTAAGCAAAAGATCTCAGGGGTTTAAAAGTTGTTATGGAAATGTTGCTAGTCCTCTCAATTTCCCTTTGGGCTTCCCTCAACATCCCTTGATGCATTATGGAAAAAACCTTGTCTGAATTTTTTTTAAATCCAGGTGGAACATGGTAGCAACTTTTATAATGCAGAAGCCCATATCAACATCGAGCATCACTAAAACAGGGCATTACCAGACTTTATCTGGGAGTCCTATCAGTACTTAGTTTGAGGCCTACGCCTTTCTCCTTAAAAATGGGTTCAGAAAACTGAAATATATGACTAGGAGCAAAAGAAAATATTATGATTTAATTCATGGGAACCCACAAAGATAACCATGAATCTACTGCAGAAGCATTGAGTTGCCCATTGTTCAGCTTCATCCATTCTTCTTCGTCTTCTCCTGTTCATCCCAGCTTTATTGCATCTATTGCAACCCCAGGCTGAAAAATATGTGGTTACGTTTTATTTAAAGACAGCCACTCAAAGGACTGCTGTTTTTATCTGAAACCATGAAGCAATAGCATACGTGAAAAACCACTGCAGAGTTTCAGACTACCAGCGCTTTCAGAAATGTAGAGCCAAGCAAACCTTTAATATGAGTACTTTGAAGAAAGGGGAAAAGTTCTTTGCAAGCCTCTGAGCCTGGCAGCTTAGGTACCCCAAGGACTTCCACTTAAGTCCTACTGAAGTCAAGCCCTTAATTAAAAAGAATAGAATATTAGAAAGGAGAGGTTATCAATTAAGAGAGCAACTGAATGGGAGGGAAACATGCTTGTCCAATTAAATGAGCTGTATCTTTTCTTTCTTTCCACCCCTCTCAGAAGGGCAATTCAATAGTAGGAAGTTCCTTAGAACCTGTTGATAGATGTTAAAGGTCTTCATTTACTTCATCTCATGGAAGTAAGTCATGTGATTCAAATCACGTGATTTCCAACCAGAGCATCTCTCTCTGTGTGTTTTTTTTCTCTAACTCCTAAACTCCAGTTGCCTTTTGAAAAAGCACCTTTGTGATCCTTAAAATTCCCTTCATACCAACATAGAGGCATAACTCCTCTGAGATCTATCCCTTGCTTCTCTGATGTTCTGTTTTCATTTATGATCAAAATAGCCTTCGATTCTCTACTAGCTGGGATATGAAGAGATCAGTAAGAGATACAGGCATGCCACTCAACAACGTTTTCCAGTTTGGTGATGGAGGTGCTCTCTTGCACAACAGATGCCATTTAGATCTTAGCTATTTTGGCCACTCCAATGCAAATAGGATTCTGTGTACATTGTTATTAAACACATGGATATCTATTTAAAAACACCCAAGTCACATGGGTGGAGCACTGCGTGCAACTGTCACAACATTCTCTCATCTCTCCTTAGATGACATATTTCTGGCTTTGTCTTGTCATCCCCACTCAAGTAATCAATGACAGTTCTAGGAATTCCTCCCAAACCAGGCATCTTTTTAGGCATCATATAGTAGCTGCTATCAAGTACCACAATTTTGGTGCTTGACTGGAGTAATTGTTGCAAGAAAAAGGCGCATCCAGTGTGCTTTTCTTCTGATCTGATCTCATATCTGTGACTTCTATCCAAATGATAGAACTATCTTTTCTAGGGAGTGTTAAGGAATAGGAGAAAAAAGGAAAAGGGGAAAAAAGAAAGTATTTCAAGAGGAGGAGATTGTATTTATTTATTTAAAAAATGTATATAGCTGCCCAATTCACACACAGCTACTCAATAAAATATTCATCTCAGTTCCCCTCACCTACCATTTAAATTGCTTTTTAACTGCGTTTTGTGAAATCATCATTTTGAATGTGTCGTTTTTCATTTAAAAATATATATTAGTGATATGTTTTTCATTCTCTTTTATTCCTAACCTAGCCCGTAATATTAACTACAGTGAACAATATAAATGGTATTAATAAAATAGAAAGCTAGATAGGAAGTCATGAAGCAAATCACACAGCCAAGATGCCAGTTAGAAAATATGGCTAAAATTTTTATGCAGCTCATGGAAAAGGAAAAAAAAATGATGATGGAACTAAAATTCATACAAGCCTACGTTACACCAAACACAACAAATTTAGGTCCCTAGCTTTGGGCACCTTAGGAATGCCTAACAGTGTTTTTAAAAAGTTCTTTCTTCCAGGTGTATGGTGCAAAACCTTGTGGTTTGTGATTCCAAAAGGAATCACATGAATGGTACAAGTATGTCTCCAACAGAAGAGGGTATCTGTAACTCGGGGTTGAATGGTGAAGTCCTTAGTACTCTCTCTGAGCCTGGTTGTTTGCTTGCAGATGCTCCAAGCATTGCCCTGATGATGTTATCTACTTGGATAATGGAAGCAAACAGCTCAGCTCAAAGAGCACCAAGAATCCTACAAGTATCTCTCTCAGGCTTGCTAGGAACCTGGGGTTTAACTATATCACCTAGCAAAGCCTATGAAATCAGCTGAGATTTCTCTCATCAGGTCTGTCCTATGCATGTCCTATGGCATTTATGATGTATCTGGAAAAGGAGTTGATTTCTTTTTTTTTTTTAAGCACTATTTTTTTTTAAAAAAAAAATCAATTTATGTTTAAATATGTGTTTCCCTGTCTCAGAAAAGACATATTTTATAGCAGTTTGATGATCAAACTCAAACAATACGATAAGTGAAATTGAGTCTGGGTGCTGAGAGGTCTTTTTAAAATGATCCTTTATGCTCCAGAGAATATCTCAGCTCCGGGAATCTCCTGGCGAGAGTGAAAACCTATTAAACTAGTTTAACTCTACAAGTGTAAATGTGCCTTGCCTCTTCCTGTAGCTTACAACATATTATGAATTCCCAGATGTAATATCAGCAAATGTGTCCTGTGGCCATCCTATTTTTTTTTTTTCCAAATCTATTTTACCCCCTCCTGAATATATCTGGGCTGTTCAATTCATTTCATGCTTAGTGGAAAGCAAGTATAGATGGAATCACTGGACAATGCTTTCAAGTTAAGGACCATTTGGGATGTCAAGCCTTTCTTGGGGGACCTTGCGGGAAACCTGCTTATCAATTGAAATGTGTAGCGATTTGGTGTATGCACGTGTGTGTATGTGTGTTCATATTCATCCCCTGCTGCAAAACATGAGAGTATGAGTAGGCAGAATGCAATGCAGGTATTGCAAACTGATACAGTACTACTGATATCCAGATTTCACTTCATTCTTACAAGCTAACCAAGTTCTTTTTTTAAATGTTATATTGCAATATGTCATTTTGCCCTGTAATTATGGTTAGGATTAGAAAATATTGGATGGAGAAAGAATTTCCCTTGGTCACTGGGTTTGCATTTTTCCCCCCAAGAACTGCTTTTACATGACATCTGTCATAAATAAGTTTTGGGGCCATTTCTGAAGTACGCAGCTCATATATTTTCTAGCTAAGAGAGACAGCCGAATGTTGCTGTTAAAAAGTACAAAAGCTGATCTGATGGCTAAATAAACATTAAATGACTCCTGGTTTTATAGCGGTACCATTATATTTCACGGCATGAGGATGACAACAATGATGCTAGCAACAAACCAAACAATATCCCTAGTCTACTGAAAAAGCAATAGGTTTTCAATGAAAGAAGCTGCCTGGTTTCTCAGCAAAATCAAAATCAATAGAGAAGCTAGGTAGAAGCTTAGGTAAGAAGGTACAGTGCTGGTCCAATAACATGGCTAGTGCCAGTCCAATCAGAACCCACTTTCTCAATTTCATTCATTTTCCAAACTTCTAGAAAATTGTTCACCATTATGCATAGCAGCCAACACTGGTATACTAGTGAGCTATGCCAAGAAGGCACAGTTCCATATAGCTCAACCCATATCTCCCAACATATGTAGGTTCACCACTTTCTCATATTTCCTCTTTCCTTTTCAGGGTCTACCACTTAGAAGTACTTAATGGTGTACATGTTTGTTACTTGAAAGAGCAGTATGTTAAATGATCATTCTCAGCTGGGTATAATATCAGAGCTGGTGAAGTCTGATGAATAGTCTAATGACTTGCACTCTGAACATCTCTTTCCAAAAGTAGTTGCTTGCATACTCCTCCTCCTTCTTCTTCTTCCTCCTCCTCTTCCTCCTCCTCCTCTTCTTTCTTTCTTTCTTTCTTCTTCTTCTTCTTCTTCTTCTTCTTCTTCTTCTTCTTCTTCTTCTTCTTCCTCCTCTTCTTCTTCCTCTTCCTCCTCCTCTTGCTCTTCCTCTTCTTCCTCCTCCTCTCCTTCTCCTTCTCCTTCTCCTTCTTCTTCTTCTCAGATTGAGCATGAATATCTGCAAAATCATCTTGGTTTCTGGCCGCTTGCTAAATCATTAAAGAGGCCTCTGCCTGTGAATGCCACGCTAAAAGCGCTCATTCATTTCCCACCAAATAAAAGGAGAGGAATGTGATTATCTTGCTACAGTCATATGAGATACAAGNGCAAGACACTTTAGGGTGCCACAGGCATGCTCTCTGCCCTCTGAGCATTGCCCCCCTCCTCCTCCCCATGACATTTTGGTTTGGGTTTCAGGAGAGACTGGATTCTATATCATCTGGACTCTACATCATAATGTCTGATCGGAACTTTCTGAAGCTCTTGTTGGATCTGCCCAGTGTTTATATATGAGTTTACTGCTACTTTAAAACACCATTAGTCTTGTGCTACCTAGGAAATGAGTTTAAACCAGCAGAAAAAGTCAGGTCTATTCAACACATTGCATTGGTTCTGTGCCACCAAGAACACATCATTGGTTTCCCACTATTTTCCCTACAATGTGGCCATACATTTTATTACGTTGGGAGGGAATGCCATGTTTCCTA